GGGCTTTCCCATGGCTGTTCCAGAATCAACTAATATTCATTGTGATGGTCAGTCAGTCAACTAACGTGGCTCTTATTGAGCACTCTCTGTTTATTGGGCTCTGTTCTAGGCACCGGGGATACTATAAACAATGAGGGTGAGGTTTTCGCCCTCGTTGACCTTAGGAAGAGCTAGACAATACAGTGAAAATCACACAAAAGGACACAGAATCACACCCAGTGACGAAAGCTATGCAGAGAAACAGAATGCACTAAGGGAAATGGGGAGGCTGATTTAGACTAGGGGGTAGGGGAGACTGGGGTGTCAGGGCCCCCATCTTCCTCCTCCCTAACAGATTTCTTGCTCTGTGCACTAACAGGCTAGCTTAGGGATCCAAGCTCCTTTCTCCAGGCTGGATACACAGGAACCAACCACTCAACACACTTTGGCTCCTGTTACGGTTTTCCTCTCTACCTCCTGCCACCATCTTCACACCCACCTCGAGCAGGGCATAGGGCTGGTGTCCCTGGAGACAGAGGGAAGGCTAAGGCGACCTCATCTGTTGGCCTAGCCTCTTGTCTCAGCTCCTGAGGACTGACAGCCAGGGAAAGGAAGGAGCCATGGTCCCCGTGGCTCCCACTCTGGGCCCAGAATGGTGCCAGGCCCTTTAGAGACATGCCTTCCCTGACCATGGCAACATCCCACGGGGTGGGGGCTACTATAAGCCCCGCTCTGCAGATGGGGAAACTGAGACCCAGAGAGGCCACAGCAGCTAGGGGCAAAGCCAAGGTAAGAACCTGAAGGGTCTTGGCTCTGGAGTCTGCACGCTTCCTGCAAGCCAGCAAAGCTGCCGGAATAAACACAGTGGCCGACGGCAGCAAAGACGAAATAAAACGGAACAGAAAAGAGAAAACCACTAAAAAACAACGTAAATGCCCAACTGAGGAGTAACTGATAGAATATTCATTCAGTAGGATCCTCCGCTGCTGCTTGAAAAAGTGAAGCAGATGAATGCTTTTCACACTCTTGTACTGTTTGCCACGAACATACCTTGTAGCTAAAATGATCTTGAAGTGGGTACAAAGCTCAGTTCACACGTGTGCAAGAAACAGCTTCTGTTCATTTTTTTAAAAGATTTTATTTATTTATTTGACAGAGAGAAACACAGCTAGAGAGGGAACACAAGCAGGGGGAGTGGGAGAGGGAGAAGCAGGCTTCCCGCTGAGCAGGGAGCCCGATGCGGGGCTCGATCCCAGGACCCTGGGATCATGACCTGAGCCAAGGGCAGACCCTCAATGACTGAGCCACCCAGGCGCCCCTGTTCATTTGTTTTATATCATCTTTCTTTCTTTCCAAAGCCCCATCCCGCCAGGCTGGTGGGAAATTCAACCTCAGCCCTTCTTCACCGTCCTCCCTGGCACACTCAGGGTCCGCTCCCAGATAGTGCAAAAGTCCTGGGGCCACTTACAGCCATGAGACAGTGGGCAGAGTGAGAGAGACCTGTTGCCAGGTGGAGAGTGGACTTCCACTCCCCCAAACACCCGCCTCCCCAGGCGTGAGCAGCAACTCCAGGCTCTGCCCAGCTCCCCAAGCTCAGCAGGAACTGGGGTGCCCACCCTTGCTCAGGGAATCCACAACCTTCTGCCTCCTCTTCCATCACAGAGAACTTCTTTAGGGTCTCGGAGAAATGGCCCCATCTCTCATCACATTCCTGCAGGGGCTCTTCCTCTCTCCCCTCCCTCCAGGAGGCACCTCAGCTGCCCCATCACTGCCCCACCCCCACTGCCCAGAAGCTTCTCAACAGACTGGGCTTTTGGTTACCAAAGCTAGCAGGGGAAGTGTAATTTTGCAAGTAACCTCCCTCTCCTGTTTCCCACACTTCCTCAAACCTCCCCCAAGGCAGGGAGATCTAGAACTTTCTTCTCCTGTGTGTTTCCTAGAGGAGAGAAAAATTACGATCTCAAAAAACTATCTTGTCACAGTTTCTCCTGCTACATGCAGTATGTATGATATATGTATGTTATATAAATACGTATAGTATACATTTATTTATAAATATACATACTAAGTATGTGTGCTACACTCTTGCCACCCAATAGTCCTGAGTCACAGAGATGAATTTCTCTTGTTTTTATTTTTATTATCACTGAAATTAATGATCGTCTCGCATGCCATATGAGAAATACAGTCAGCTGCAAGGAACTTAATACCCAACTACCAGGGGCTGAAACACATTGGCATTTGTTTTCCTCATGTAACAGAAGCGCGGGGACAGGCACAGCAGGGCGCATCAAGGACCCAGAGCCCTTTCAATTCTCTGTACTATGTCCTCACCTTGTTGGTTTCTCATCCCAGGCTTGTTGCCTCACTGTCCCAAGATAGCTGCTGTAGCCCCAGGCATCTCATTCGTGTTAAGATAGGAAAAGGGGAGAATGAGCAGCCCCTTGTAGAAGAAAAGCAGCAACTTTCCAGGAATTGCTCCTTAGCCTTCCCCGCTTGGATGTCATTAGCCGGCATGTTGTGAGGTACCCACTGCTCTCAGGGAAGCTGCAAAGGGACCCACTGACTTTTCCCACCTTCGTGATGGTGGCGGCAAAGGGAGAAGGGGATTGGGAACGTCTGCTGGTTAACCACACTGTCCAGCCCAGCCAAGCACCAGGCTTTATGGTTTACAAAACCGTCCCTGTTGCCATTTTACGGAAGCTGCCGTGGAGGCTCAGAGACAGGCCCGAGTTGCCTAAGGTCACGTGGCAGGGGGCAGACAGAACTGGAGCTGAGCCAGAGAGCTTTCCAGTCCCCACACCCATCTGTGGGCTTCACACTCGCTCTGCCCACAGAGCCCTTCTACAGCCGGGTCCAGAGTTGCGCCCTTCCCAGGCACAGTCCTGCCTGTCAGGGGCTGGCCCACAAAAAGGGCGGCGTCCTATGGGCCTGTCCCACAGACCCACGAGGGACAGGAGGCGACAAAAGAGAGCGAGAGGGGAGAGAGGCAACAGAGGAGAGGGTATGAAGGAAAAGAGATGGGAGCTCAGAAAGGAGGTGGGGGGGTGGCGGGTGGAGGATGGAGGGCAGGAGAGAAAGGGAGGGAAAGAGGAAGGGAGGGAGGACGTGTGGAAGCCATGGTGCTGGGCAGCAGGAGCCGAGGGGCATCCAGCAGCCAGACCCCTGGGTGGGCAGCAGTCAGCCCTGACATCTGCCCCCACCTCCACCACACGGCCCACCAGGGGAGTGAGACCACCGCCTTACTGGAGGGCAGAACGGGGACTGGGGAAATAACATCGGGGAGGCCCTTTGCCCTGTCTGGGAGAAACCCTGGTGGCTTCTCAGAGGTGGTGACCTCCAAGTTGGGACCTGAAACTCCTTCACCAGGCATTCAGACTCTTCGGCCTGGCCTCTGCCTCCTCTGCCCAGACCCTGGCCCAGAACTCATGCTCAGTGCGTGTTTGTTGAATGAATAATCTGAAAACTGTAGAACAAGGTGATACAAAAGCAGGACAAAATGGTCCACTTCTACAAATTCATTTAAAAAAAGGTTATCAGGAGCATGGAGTGGGCTTTTTCTCCCAAAGGTGAAAGGAGGAAAGAAATGAAATCTTGGGGGGCAGCGGCTGGGGGAGTTCGGGCTGCTCCATGAAGGGGGTTTTCTTGGGCTGAAAGGCACCCAGGGCCAAGAGCTTCCCCAGGATCTGTCCCAGGTTTGAGAGAAGCTGTCTTCTGCCCCTGCCCCAGTCCACACCCCGCCCCCTCCCTTCATTCCCAGGCCCGGCACCTGTCCCAGCTACCAACCCTCCATTTCATCCAGGGAAATACTTGTAAAATAACACCCTGACCCTGTCACTGTTCTGCTTGAAGCCTTCCAGAAGTTCCCCATGATTATCTCACACTTTCACTGCTTCCACCCGGCTCCAAAACCCTCCATGGCTCCCCTCTACACTGAGGATAACATCTGGTCTCTTCGCAATGGCCATCAAGGGCCTGTGTGATTTGGGTCCAGCCCAGCTGTCCCAGATTGCAGCAACTCCTGACCCGCACGCTCTGCACCCCAGCCACCCCGCACTCCTCACTGTCCGGGAACGCCCCACTCTCTCTCTTGTTCGCATGCTGTCCCCTCTGCCTTGAGCATTTTCATTCCTCTGGAGCTGGATGGCTCCCACTCATCCTGCAGGATGTCTGTCCTGATGCCCGTCCCGTGGCAGGCAACCCCTCAGTGCAGCCTGGGCACCCCCACAACCCTCGTGACCCACGAGCGCCCTGGAAGCAGCCCATATCCCTGGCCACTGCAGCCCCAGCACCCAGCAAACCCAGTCACGTCCTATCTATTGTCACACCCACGATGGAGGTGGTACATGGCCTGTGGGCAGCCATCCTGTCAGGACCACAGCCAAGAGCCCATTGTCGCCGCCGCATCAGCGCGCACCTTCGGAGATGGGAACCGATGGTGTGTATCGAGCACCTGCCGCGCACTTCACATCAGCTGCTTCATCCATGCCTCACAACAGCTTGGGAGTGGGGGGGGCGTCCCCCGGCTGATGGATGAGCAGCCAGGGCCAGAGGGGAAGGACTTGCCTGGAGTCCCACACAAGCCCCACGGCTTCCAAGATTCACCAGATCCAGGCCTGCTCGGCTGACTCAAGCGCGTGTTCTTCCCCACCATGCCCTGAGTCTGGGGATGGGTTAGATTCTTCTCTGCATGTGACAAGGACTATGGCTACGGCGGGAAGGAGGAGATGGCCCCCTCAGCCACCCCGCACAAACTCTCCTCTCCACCCTGACTCTGGCCTCACCGTCCCTTGTGTGGACACTGCTTCAGTGCCCTTCCTGGCCCCCAGACTGCCTTTATCCAAAGCCCCTCCTTCCCCTAGAGCCTCCCCTGCCTCTGCTCCAAGGCTCTCCATGCCCTACAGAACAGAGCCCAGATCCCTCGTCTGGCCTCCTCCGCCCTGACCTTGTTTCCGCCCCCACACTGGCCCCAGACCGCATGGGGGCCGCGCCCAGGGTGGGGGGCACAGAACATGGGCAGGTACATACACTGGCTGCTTTATTGCGCAAAGTCACGGAGACTCAGTAAGGCACGGAGTCCAGGAAGGAGGTGGCATGCCCTGGGGGACGTGGTCGGCACTACCCAGGCCTCAGTGCTGGGCACCCCAGCCTGGGGAGTGCTCCCACTCTCTGAGTGGCTCTGAGTGCTTCTCTCTTTCAGGTCCCTCTCCCAGGGAGCCTAAGAATAAGGGGCCCTTCTTTCCCAAGAGGGTGAGTGCAGGGGATGGGGGCCAAGGGTAAGGAAGAGGCAGCTCTGTGGTCTGGAGGGAGCGGGAAGGTAGGGCTCAGGCTTGGGCCTGAGGCTCCCCCTCCCTGAAGGCACTAAGAACAGGGGGCCCAGCTCAGGGGCAAGTCCTGGAGGTGGGTAGGGGTAGGGGCTCAGCGGGCTGACTCACTGAGCCCCGAGGCACCAGGTGGGCAGGCTGCAGGGGGCTGCCTCAGCTGAAGTCGCGGTTTGGCAGGAGGAGCGGGGCCACCAGGGTCCACAGGTAAAGGAGCAGCCCCGCCCAGCTGGCGCAGATCTTCACCCACACGGCGGTCCAAGTGCTGATCATCTTCCGGGTCTCGCCGGGTCTGGAACACAACGTCATCCCAGTGACCTCAGTTCTGGTCCTGCCCTTACCACCCAGTTGTGACCCCTGACTTCGACTCTGGCTCTCACTCTGTAACTCTAGCCGCCCATCTCTGATATTTTTGACACTTGGCCTTGGCTCTGTCTTTGACCCTAGATGTAGCTTTTGACTAATACCACAGATCTGACCCTGACCTCAATTTCAACACTGACCCCAGTCCTAGACTAATATTATAACCTGACTCCTGGTCCCTGCCTTTGGGACCCTGGAGCTCCCGACCTTAGTCTTGACCTCCAACCTTGACTCTGACCCTCAATCTTGTAACTCCATCCCTGACCCCTGACCTTAGGACTGAGCTGATATCTTTGACCTTAATTCTGACCCTTGACCCTCTAACACCAGTCCTGACACCTGACCTTGTTACTCTGTTCTTAGTTCCTTGACCTGGCAACTTCAATCCTGGCTTTATGGCCTGCTAACCCCAATTTTAACCAAAAGAACCAAATCTGTGACTTTATATGGCCCCAGTCCCGTTGACCTCATGACTCCTATTCTTGACCCTGTGACTGATTCTAACCCCATACCCTAAATCCTAACCCTCCAGCCATGAATCCCAACTCTGACCTTGTAACCCAAATCACCACTCCTGATCTGTAAGGCGCATCTGCCCTGCACAGGCCCAGCGTCACCTCCTGTGACCCCCACTTCTCAGGCTACTGGGCAGACTAAGGCACTGGCCCGGAAGCTGGCGCATGGCTGCGCAGGCTCTGCGGGGGGTCCTGGACAGACTCCTCTACGGCCAAGCCTGAAACAGGCATCAGGAGAAACCCGGGGTGGAGGGGCGAGGAGATGGGCGGCCTCCACACCCCAGCACAGCGGATCCGGTCCATGCCCGGCCAGGCTGCACGCACCTGTACCAGCTGGTAAGCGTCATCATTATGTGCAGGGACGCAAGCACCAGGCAGAAGTGGAAGAAAGAGTAGCTGTAGGTGACAGCGTCCTGCTCGTTGTCAAAGGCCCGGCCCTGGCATTCCACCACCTGTCGCTGCTGCGTGACTTCCAGTGTGGACGGACACTCCTCCGTCTGCATCAGGCTGTTCACCTGCCGGTGGTCCGAGGAGCGCAGACTGCAGGGGAGGGAGGGGGAGGCGGGCAGGAAGCTCCAGGGGGCCTCACGAGCCACGGCTTTGGTCATAACGATGGGCACCATGGTTCCAGAACCTCGGGGCCTGGTGACCTGGTGGTTAGGCTCTGGGCCCACCCACTCACCGCTTTGACTCCGAACTCCACCCCCACCTCCTATGTGGCCTTAGGCAAGACACTGAACCTCTCTGAGCCTCTGTAAAATTGGGGGTTACAGTACCTCCCTTGCGGAGTTGCCAGGAGGACTAATACTGTGAAGCCCCCAGCACTGTGCCTGGCACAGAGTATAAACTAGAGAAACAGGCGCTGTTATTCAGGTTGTCCATCTGCCAATCCCGTAAATATGGACTGCGTACCTAGTACTTCAAAGGACCATACCAGGGATGGCATTCATTGATAATATTAATAATTAAGAATACTCATTCTTCATGTTTATTATAAAAAAAATACTAACAGCAATGATTTTTTGGTCATTTCTGTAATGAGGTCTTGATGTTTTTAACAGTATTTAATAGTGTGAGACACATAGGCAATTTTGAAAATCCAAGTCGCATTTGGGAAAAAAGTGACACAGAAGGAGATCTGGACCCCAGCCCCACCCCATCAAGCTGAGAAGTCACCCGCTGAGCTTCTGCTGACCCCAATCATCATCAAACATCATGCTGATATCTAATGTTTGGGATCCCGGGTCCTGGTGACACAGCTAGGCACGACGCCCATCCTCAGGGGTCCCTGCCCTTGTGGCTGCTTGTGCTTCTTTGCTTCCTGGGTTTTAAGAACCGTGCTAAGAGGGTGCCTGGGTGGCTCAGTCGGTTAGGTGTCTGACTCTTGGTTTCGACTCGGGTCATAATCTCAGGGTCGTAGGATCGAGCCCTGTGTCTGGCTCTGTGCTCAACAGGGCGCCCGCCTGAGATTCTCTCTCTCCCTCTCCCTCTGCCCCTCCTCCGCTCTCTCTCTCTCTCAAATAAATAAAACTTAAAAAAAAAAAAAGAAAGAAAGAAAAGCACTGGACTAAGAACAGACGGGCCCTGGGCTCTCAGAGGCTCTGCCCCGTGACCACAGGCCGGGGGGGCGAGCGTCTGGGGAGCAGGACGAGGTGCCGCTCTGAGCCTGGGTGCTGTGTGCGTGGCCTCAGACAGGTGGCTACCCCTCCCAAACCTCCCATCTCCTTATCTGCACCATGGAGGTGACCTGGGCCTTTCCAGGTTGAAAAAGGGATCAAGTGAGGCAACAAAGAGTGACCTGCCCAGGCTTTGAAAAAGGTCAAAACAAAATGTGAAACAGCCTCAAGATGTTCAGAGACAGGTGTGCGGCTCTGAAGAAACCAGGCCCTGCCCGGGATGGACGAGTCAGGGAGGGCAGAGGAGCCTGGCAGAGCCTCCTCCGGGCCGCCCTGCGGAGCCAAGGGGAGCAGCACTGGGAGCGATGCTGGGCCCCGCGGAGTCAGTCATGAGTCCGCCGGACTTGCTGTACACGGCGGTCACCCTCAGCATCACCATCTGGTGACTTTACACAACAGCCACTCCCTGCCACCCAGCTGTGCAAACGTTCACAGTGACTTGCAATTAAAGCAAACACTTGTTTGGCGCTGCCTACTCGCCAAGTTCCTTTCTAAGAGGCTTATTCATACTAACTCATCCAACACCCCTCCACGGTCCTGTGAAGTAGGTACTATTTTTATCCTTATTTGACAGCTAAGCAAACCAAGGCACAGAAAGGTGTAGCGACCTGCCCCAGATCGCACTGCTGCTAAGGGGAGCTGCAATGTTCAAACACAGGCGGTTCGGGTCCAGAGTCCACACTGAGAAGCACTTGCTAAGAGGCCCCTTTAAAAAAAAACTGTTACGTGATCTTCAGTCTGAGCCGCCCTCTCCCAGGTGACAGTGTGGGGTCCCCACCACCCCAGGCATTGGAGGCTACCATCCTCCACCATCACGAAAGCTCAGAAAGGTGAAGCCACTTACCCTGAGACCACACAGCAGGTGAGCGACAGAGCCCACGCCTGCCCGCCCCAGTCCAAGCTTCTTCCCTGCACGCACAGATGCCTGCACCCTACTGAGCTGGGCACGTGCCAGCCCGACGTGCAAGAAGGGGCCCCGGGCCAGGAGGCAGCGTCCAACCATGCCCCTGCTGCCCAGTCACGCTGGGCCCTCAGAGGGACTCCGTTTGGCACCAGCACAGGGCTGGACCTGCGCTTGCTAAGGGCGCCTTCCCGCTTGGTGTCTGGGCTCCCACATCCTCCCCTCACTCGCACCTTCAGGCCCCCAGTCATGATGCCTCCCCAGAAGCCAGATGCCCCCCCCATACCCGATGAAGAGGGTGCACAGGATAAAGATGATGAGTCCCACGATGCTCGGTGCATCCCACCAGTGGGTCTCGTAGCCGTCAGGGCCTGCCAGGATCGTCTCATTGCTGAAGCGGGTCAGCAGGTGGGGGTTGCATTTCTGGTCTAGACATGGGAGCAGTCACCCTCAGCCCTTGCAGGCCAGGCCTGAGGAAGGGCAGAGAGCCAACCCAAATGGACAGACAGACATACAACTGAGCATCCAAATCCCAGCAACAGACAGAACTTAGCAGACAAATGACAGAGAAAGAGCTCCAGGAACAGATAGGGCCCTCCTAGCTCCCTGAAGGACTAAGAGGGGGTACAAGCTGAGCTGAAATGTCCCTGTCACCTGTGAGGGTCCCCAGCCTGCCAGAAGGCCGTGCTGACACAGGAATGAGCCCAGGCTTCCCCAAATCTGGGCCTGTACTCACCAGGGACACTGGACAGGGCCAGCCAGGTGACAAACATGGTGTAGAGCGTGATGACCGAGGCCTGCAGCAGACCCGAGTTGGGCTGGGCGTCCTGGAAGAGCAGTCCATCAGGAAGACCGCCGTCAGACCTGGGGGGCACCCCACCCACACCTAGCCCACTGACACCCCACTGGGGGGGCCTCAGGAACCCCCACCACCCTAGAGCCATCCCACACCACACCCTTTGGGAGAACACAGCACCCGAGCCACCCACCACCCACCACCCACCTCTCCCAAAGGTGGAGTCCTCATTCTTTCTCTTAACAAACTATCCCAGTTGCTCCCCTGCTGAGAACGCACCCAGGGTGGGATCCTTTCACATTCTGAATTAAAGCCCTCCCTGGTTTGGCCCTGCCTTCGTCTCCAACCTCCCACCCCCCCAGCAAGCTCCTCCCCTCCGACTGCACTCAGCTAAGCTGGCCTCCTCTCTGTCCACAGAACCCACCAAACTCTCTCCCACCTCAGGGCCTTTGCACTCGCTGTGCCCTCTCCCTGACACGGTCCTCCCCAACATCTCCACACAGCCAGCCTCTCGTTAGCATTCAGGCCTCAGCTCGAAGTTCTCAATGAGGCCCCAACACCCTGACCCCCGCAGCAGCCCCCGCTCCCCTCCCTGCTGGCCCACCCACCTTTTGCCCACTCTCTTTTATTTCCCACGTAGCACGTATGATCCCAAATTATCTTCCTTGGCCTCGTCTCCTACCAGCTGTTCTTCCCCATCCTCACCACACACAGGCTTGGAAATAAGAATCCAAACTCTGATTAGGAGCACAGGCTCTGGGGCCAGTCTGCCAGCTCCGCCCCCAGCGCGCCCCCCAGCCCCGCCCCCAGCCCCGCCCCCCCCAAGCTGTGTGACCTCAGGCCGGTCTCTCTCCTCCTCTAAGCCTCCCTTTACTGGTCTGGAAAGTGGGGACGATGGCGGTGCCTGGACTACATGACGGGACAGTTGTCATCAACTAGCAGCTGCTGTTACTCTTCCCCTCTTCCTCACATCTGCACCCCCAACATCTCCAAGAAGGCCCGGTATACAGTAGGCGCTCTGGAAGTATTTGCTAAATGAATACTGATTACTGTGTGAGCTGGGACAGAGGCATCACCCTCTCTGGGCTTCAGTTTTCTCACTGGGAAATAGAGGCTCAGACGAGAAGGGAGGTTCCCCACCTTTCTGCTAAAGACCCTCTAAGGCTCCCCAAGCTAACTGTGAAACCCCTGGTGGGCTGAGATCCCCAACCATGAGGCACCGCTGGGCTCATAGGGCTCTGAAGAGCACACGATGATCTGGGGAGCCCCACCCGTTACCCCCAGACGGTCTGAGACTGGAAACTGTGCAACTGCACCTCCCAACACCACTTATTGAGGGGTCTGGGAGTCGTCACTCAGTGGTCCTCCCTAATGGTCTCCCAATTTCCATAAAGACAACGATGATAACAACAGTTCATGTCTGATGGTTATCTATAGGCCAGGCCCTGTTCTCTGTGTTCACAAACTCTGTCTCAATCCTGCAAATATCTCCAAAGGGTAGGTATTACCCTCATTTCTACATGTGAGAAGAGAGAAGCACAGGGAGGGTAAGGCACTTTCCCAAAGACACCCAGCAAGTAGCCACGAAAGCTATGACTCTAACCCAGGGAGGCTGACTCGGGAGCCCACATTCTTAGCTCAAGCCTCTGGGACCGGCGGCCCTGCCCCAGGACCCCGAGGCTCCTACCAGAAGTCCCCCCACACCAAGGGGCCCGGCGTCAGGACGGGCAGAGACAAGCAGTCTCACCTGGACCTTGGGCAGGACGGCGACAGTGGAGACACAGAAGCAGAGAGTGAGGTTGAGGCTGATGAAGACCTTGCCTTCATAGCAGGTGCCGGGCTGGGTGTAGTAGATGAACAGCAGTGTCACGGCCGCAATGGACAGTGTGTAGAAGAGGAGGGTGAAGAAGAAGAGGCCTGCGAAGGAGAGGTGGCAAGCGGCTGGGTGAGGAGGCATAGGGACCCCCCCCTCGAGGGGGGCTTGTCGGGCAGCCCCCTGTGTGGGCCTCAGCTTCCTTGTCGGAGGAATGACATCAGTGTCTCCTGAATGTCTGTCACTTGCCAACTCTTGTGAGAGCTTTTGCCCCATCCTGACCTAAAAGGACTCACTTGCCATTAATAAGTTAACCATGGAAAGAAAGGCAGTGAATACAAAAGAGTCTTTCACAAAGTCCACTGGATGCACAGGGACCCGCTGAAGCCCTGCTCCCTTGTCAGAGAGACCAGCCACTTTTCAGGGGCGTGAAAACCAAACCGGCACCTAAGTGAGCCTTTCTCCTCGGTCAACTCAGGAGAACTGAAAGGGAGCTGAGCAAGAACCTGCTCTGCCCCAGGGGCTTCAGGGACCCAGCGTCATTTGGTTTGGTCTGGGCTGGCTGTGCGTGGCCCGTCCTGCAGGAATCGCTGAACTAGACTCCACCAAGGTCTCTCCGTTCCGGCTCCCCTCTGACCTCCCCCGGAGTCACCCCAGAACCAGCCGCCCCTGCCCGCACACACCCCCTTCCCTCCATCTGCCCAGGAGGGTTCAATTGCTGCCCTAGGGCAGGGGGCATCTCCAGATGCCCTGAGGCTTTCCTCTAGTTTCGGGGACCCCCTATGCTCAGGAAGCCCCAGTTGCGAGCAAGCACAGGGCCTCTGGCAACATCACTCACCTGCATACCAGGCCCGGGAGTCACACTCCTCAGCCTTGCCCAGCCACCGCTGGTTCCAGGAGTGAGCGAAGTCGATGAGCAGCACCAGCTGGATGAGGATGAAGAGGAAGGAGCCCATGACACCGAAGTAGAACCAGACTGCGTGGGGAGAGGGGAGAGGGAAGATGGGGGGAGGGGGCAAGGCGGTGGGGGAGCAGCCTGAGTGCCAGGCTCCCCGGGATTAATGCGGCAGGCACCCTCCCGCGGTCTCCCTCACATGCACATTTACTCATTCAACAGTCGTTTGTGGGTGCCTGGGTGGCTCAGTTGGTTAAGCGACTGCCTTCGGCTCAGGTCATGATCCTGGAGTCCCGGGATTGAGTCCCACGTCGGGCTCCCTGCTCAGCAGGGAGTCTGCCTCTCTCTCTGACCCTCCCCCCTCTCATGCTCTCTATCTCATTCTCTCTCTCAAATAAATAAATAAA